AGGTGTCACAGGCACAGAATGGGCTGTCATTTCATGGTCCAAACACAAACACTGCTGCATCTTGTAGATGAAACTGAAAACATGACCACTCAATACCTGTCTATACTCGTAAAGCTTCTTTTCCTCAACTTTCCCTAAAGATCGATGAAGCTTGCATTTTCTCTTAGAGATACCTTAAAATATTTAAGGATTCATACTTAAATTAGCTAATTCCTTGTTCTCAATTCACAACTGCTTGTTTGGTAGAGGTCAAGTTTTGTCTTTTGTAAGCAGGCCAAGTGACTTCAGAGACTGCCATCTGCACAGGTAGCACCAACTCATTACTCGTGCCCTTGATTTAAACTAACACTACCATGCCTGCTTTTCCATCCGCTCTCATTCTCTTAGGTTTGGTTTTATCCTCCAAAGAACGTGGGATAATGAGAAATAGAGTACTTCAATTCTCAACGGAATCTAACGGTCCTTATCGCTCCCCCCAAAGAAACACAGCTTCTTCCTGAATCCACTCAGGCCACACTGATCCGGTCCCACAGCAAGGGGTTCTCATAACATTATCTCTGCCCATCCGAGGCGGCTCAGAAGGGAGACACCTTTCCTTTTGTTACTCAAAAGTACAAGTCTTTGCAATGCTTGAACCAGCAGCCATTACTGCTTTGGTTCATATGAAGCTTGGTTCTCTAGCATAAGAAAGGCTAATGGCCTGCACTGACAGTCCAGCCCTTCTTCCAGCCTACACTGCAGAGGACACTTAGGACAGTGTTCCAGGAGGAGAGACAGTCAGGAAACAGCACTGACTGGCCCAGGACCAGAGCTGGGCTCCAAAAGCATCGACTGGACTTGCTTAGGTCCCAAGCATCACAAGCTGCTGTGAGCAGAGATGAGGACACAGCAGAGGCATAGGGAAGCCCTCGGAATGGGCTGTGAGGCTGCCAGCACAAGGTCAGCCACCCTTCCCGCACTCCTTCCCTGCCGGCTCAAACTTGCCCTGCCTGCTCCCCCACCTTCCCACAAGCACTTCCCCTAAGAAATTGCTTGGGTGCTGAATTCTGTCTTGGCTCTTGCTTCTCAGGTGGCCAAACATAACACAGCTGGGGTAATAAACTTATACTTTCTGATACCAGCAATCTTCAAACGGGTCTTAGAAAACTGGCATTTTTTTTAAATGTGTAAAACAGACCACAGGTTTGAAGTTTTTCCTTCTCCATTCCATTTTTCTTATCTTCAAAGGGACACTAATAATAGAAAAGCAGGCTTTTAAATACATACAAATGTATCACTCTCCTAATATTAAAGCCTTTCTTTTAGTTGTAAATTCACCCAGTTCCGAAGAGAAGGCAGACAGACAATACTAAAGAGTTTCTTGGACTTAGTTATTTATGTATCCATCTGTCTGACTGCACCATGAGCTTCTGGAGGGGAGCATCTCTTCCATTCATGCTTTAACAAGTCCTACATCACTAGTACAGGGACTCAGTAGATAGCTGCTGATGGAGGAAAGACATGAAATCAGAAAATTCAAAAATGGGTCAGAGATCAGGTTAGACAGGATTCCCAGAGATATGGAAAAACAATTTATATATATACACGCCTACTGCTTTCATGTATGAACTCTGGGGAATAAACTTCACGTTTCCCTTTATAAACTACAGGAAGCTGAAGAATAAGGAACAGATTAGATAAGAAACACTACAGGTAATCCTAACGTGCCCAGGAGCTCTGAACCAGTGATACTAACAGCCCAAACCAACCGCCTGCCTATACGGAGCATCCAAAACAGTCTGGAAGAGGGAGAGTGGGTTGTAGGAAATTGTGCAGACAGACAGACACGTGTGGATTACACATTAATTACAGGTCACATTTAATGACAGACATACAGACTTCTCCATTCTAATACACTTCACTACACTCCAGATTTACTCAAACATCAGCAGATATTTCTGACAGCTGTAATTATCTCTCTTTTAGGAAGCAGAAAGAAAAATCTTGTTCCTTTTTACCATGTGACTGAAAGTTTCCTACCACAAAGTATCAATCTACTTGGTCAAAAGTGAGCATTTACTAAATAACTTAATGACGGTAAACAAGCAGAAGAAAATGTTTGGGAATTACATTCTTCTGCAGAACTTGGTTCCTTCATGACTATTTGATTAAAAAAGCAATTTGTTTCACCAAGTGTTAGCATGTTTAGGTTGATGACATTTTTGCTGCAACAATGAAAACAAGTGTATTAGTGCAGACCCCACACTATGACACTTTAAACAGCACTTCTCATAGCAGATTAATTCTTCGAAATTACACCTTGTCAGTGGGGAATTTTTCTCTACACATCGATGATTTAAAACCCAATTCACTTTCTCTCTACTGTTTAAGAGCTCACGACAGTGCCGGCTTGTGCAGTGTGCTTCTGCGTACGTCTACTGGCTGCAAAGAGGGGAACACCCTGGAGACCTGCATTAGAAAACAGAAAAGCGGAAGTATTTTCTTCCCCCCTTTTCCAGACGGCACTAGAGGTGGAATGAAGCTGAAGACCAAATGCGCAGGGCTGGGATGTGCTTCCGTTGGTAGTGCGCTTACCTAGCACACACAAAGCCTGGGGTTCTGTTCCCAGCATGGTGGCACATACCTACAGTTTGTGTTTAGGAGGGGAAGGCATCACACTTAGCTATAGGATGAGTTTTAGGCTAGTCTGGGCTACATGAGACCTTGTGCAAAACCAAAGTAAAGATACACCCTACAACAACCTGAGAATATAAAGTAATTAATTCTAGGTCTTTTACTACATATGGAAGATTCCATGGGCAGTGGTGTGTAAGGTGGGTCCTACAGAACTCCAAGTCAACCCCAAACTTCAGACAGACTTGGGAAGCACATAAACCCACAGTTCTTCTCCTTTCAAGTTGCTAACATGTCATTTATCAAATGAGTCAGCCAAGCATACATATGAATCAACATGTCTACCTGCTTCAGGGCCTATAAAACACTTCACAATGAAGCCACAGTGAAAACTAATCCTTAATAACTTAATTAAGTATTTTATATAAAAATCATAGAAAAGCAAATAATAACAAATAGTTGAACAGACGGAAGAGATATACGAAATTGGCAATTAGAGGTTAAACAAAGAGGCCTATAATTTTAAAAAAGCCTGGTGATGTGGCAGCTGGATAGGGTAACATGTAATTTCCTAGAGAAGATATGCCCTCTATTTAATACAGAAAACAATGGAAATGTTAATTACAAACGTGAGCAGGTGGGAAGGGCCAGTCATTCCCAGCCCCCAGGTACGATTTTCCCCATGAGCTGTCAGAAAGCATATGAATAAATGCAGGACTTCTCAAACAACTGCTTGTCAAGTTTTATGATAATCATTTCCGACATCAAAATGGGGTGCACGTGTTAATAATAAACAACCTTCCATGCAGAGCGAGCACTCCCATTCCTTCCTCACCTGACATGTGCTCACAGACCCTCCCTAGTGCCCACTAGGCATTGTTCTAGTCCAGGGACAAAGGATGAGCAAAATGGTCTCCAAGTCCTGAAGCTGGGGTATGCGTGTGTGTGTGTGTGTGTGTGTGTGTGTGTGTGTGTGTGTGTGCGTGTATGAGTGTGTGTGTGCGCGTTTGTGTGTGTGTGTGCACGTGCGCTGGGTACAGAATCAGGAACAGAAGTAACAGGGTGTGTGTGTTCTGGATACAGAATCAGAAAGGGGAATGACAGGTGGTGTGGGAGGGCCTTCTGTCTATGTGTTACTTTCATTGGTTAATGAATAAAGAAAACTGCCTTGGCCTGTTGATAGGATAGAACTTAGGTAGGCAGGGAAAGCTGGACTGAATGTTGGGAGAAGGAAGGCGGAGAGAGAGAAGCCATGGAGTCGCCAGAGTCAGACATGCCAAAACTTTGCCGGTAAGCCACTGCCTCGTGGTGATATACAGATTAATAGAAATGGGTTAAACTAAGATGTAAGAGCCAATAAGAAGTTAGAGCTAATGGGCCAAGCAGTGATTTAATTAATACAGTTTCTATGTGGTTATTTCAGGACTAAGCTAGCCGGGCGGCTGGGATGAACAAGCAGGCTGTGTTCTACTCTGCTTCCATTCTGCCATAAGAATAACTTCAGACCACTAGGTAGGAGTGGAAAGAAACTGAAAGAAAAGGAAGAGGGGAAGGAAGAGAACTGGGGGAGAAATTGCAGGCTGGAAGGTGTGAGAGAACAAAGCTGAACGAGATTTATAACATGACAAACTCTCTCCACCTTGTTTAGTGTTACTCTATCCTGCAAGTGCATGTGTGTCCCACCCAGTGCATGTGATGTGCACCTCAGAATACAAGCTGCATGCTGGCCTCACTTTGTTCTCCGCTGTTCAGTGACACGCACACCATGCTAGCTGCCCATGAACTTCTGGCAACCCTCAACTGCACTGCAGAAGAGCTGGGCTTAAATAAGTGAGATGGCACCCAACTGCACGTTCTGCGGATGGAAATTCGGGTCCTCGTGTTTTCAGGGCGAGCTCTACTCACTGAGCCATTTCCCTTGCAGAGATAAATCTTACAAAAGACATACATGATATCAGCTAGACACCACTGAACATCCTGACACACTGAAGACTGTGGGTCACCGACGGCCTGTGTCACTGTCACCTTCTTTTAAGAAGCTGTTGGAATTGTTAAACTCTCTTCTCGCAGTCCACACACAGAGGTAAACTGTAGCTTACAGACATGATTTGGCAGCCCCTCCCCTGGGATCTACGCATACTTGCCTCCGAGTGTCACCGACCTCACACAGTACGCGTCATTCTGTTAATGCTTCTGCAGTTACTTCTGTCCTTTTCTATGGCTACAACAGTTTCAACTATGGCAGCATCAACGCCAGCTCTACTTCCCAGAAGAGACAGACAACCTGAGAGACAACTCTTGCCAAGCGTACACCCTGTGGAACAAGATGGAGCCGGCCTCTCCACCCATTTCCTGCAGCAGCAGTGAACCATGTGAGATATTCCTACCTTGCAGGAGGGACGTCGATGTTAGAGGAAACCACTTTCCGCTTCTGCTCAAGGAGACAAATGGATCGAGTGTTTTCTTTTTCTTGGTCAAGTATCCGGCTGGCTTTTTTGGTGTCGGCTGCTTTCACGTCTTCCTCCATGGCCAGTGGGAACAAGTGGTGAGAAGTCTTCTTGCTGGACTCGAGTCTTAAGTCCTCTGGTTGAAATGTGAAGGTCATTTCTCTTTTAAAACTCCCCACCTACAAAACACAACAGAGAGAAAAAATCTTACACAGCTCTGCCAGGCTGTGGTGAGGAAGTCTACACGCTCTTCTGTTTGCGCTAGTCTGTGGCTTAGCTGGGGGAAACGCAACCCAGAAGTAAGCAACTAGCATTACAACTAGAAATAAACAACTAGCTTGGGGCTAGCCTGGTCTACATGGAGCATTCCAGGACACCCAGGGCTACACAGAAAGATTCTGTCCCAAAACAACAGCAACAAAGTGTCACGAACTCAAGAAATGCCTTCCTTTCAGGAGATGGAAGCACTGGCTCTCTTTGCGTTTGTACTCAAAGCCATTATCATGCGTAATAGAAGACAGCTAGTATGCACACGCAAACTGTCTTTGACTATTAATACTGACCTTAGCTTCCATGAACAAGGTGTAAGACAAATATGAAACCAAAACTCAGTGAATTAAATCCCACTGTTTCCAATTTTGGAACCATTGGGAAAAAAGTAAACTAAAAAAGTTTTTATAAGTTGCCACAAACCAAGTCAGCAGCAAATTGATTCAAGTCTTGAGTAGAGCAAAAAGAGCCTGACTCTCCAGCAATCAGGAATCTCTCCGTTCGCCAAGAGGGCATTTCACAGACACACAAACCAAGCCAGCCTCCCTGTGAGCTCAGGGAGTCTACCCAGCCCTGCTTACCACAGCCCAGCTAAGCTTGTTTGTTTCTATTAAGTTTAGATAAAAGACCTGAGTCAAGCAGAATTGAAAGCCATAAACAATGTACATAGTAAAATGAAAATGTGTAAGAACAGCAAGAGTCTCTAGAATTAATCACTACACATTCCGAGACCAAACAAAACTCAGGTATGTGTGTGCATACCTGTGATTATCCAGACAGATAAGTACAGGACTTATCCAGATAAGGTCACGTCCAGAATTCAAGTGAACACCCAGAGCTCCAAGGCACTCTGACCTCCCTTAGCCTTCCAGAGATAGAGAGTGGAGATCAACTTCTAGCGGGCTGCAAGGCAAATCCACACCCAGCTCCGCAGGAAAAGGCCAGCCACTTTTGGTCCACTTGCCACTCATCAGGAGGTCACCACAGATTTCAGAATGACGTAGTGAAGTAAAGCAAGCGTCCTAGAAAACTGGGTGTCTGTTCTCAAGCAGTAACTGTTGATACATGCAGCAAGTGAGCAGAGATCAGGGAGCCTGCAGCAGTCTGACCTAGGTCCTCTGCACTTATGCTATGGCTGAGTAGCTTGTGTTCTTATGGGATGCCTAACGGTGGGGGTGAGGGTGGCCGCTGACTTTGTCTACTCATGGGACCCTTTTCCTCCTACTAGGTTGCCTCGTCCAGCCTTGATGTGATGGTATATGCCTGGTCATAGAGTAATATAACATATTATGCCATGTTTGGTTGATATCCCTGGGAGGCCTGCTTTTTTTCTGTGGGGAGACAAAGGGAGGGTGATTCTGGGGGAGAGGGCAGATTGGGGGTGAGAAACTGGAGGGAGGGAAACTATGGTTGGAATGTAATACATGAGAGAAGAATTTAAAAACTATAGTTGAGAAAGTAAATGAGTTACAAAGAGTCTAAATGTCACTAATCATTCTACATAAATCATTCTGCCTTGACAGGGTGGGTGGCCTGTTCCCAGCTTGTGTTGCCACAGGAGACTTTAGAGTCCAGTCAACAAAAAAGTAGAGACCTTGGTGTGCACGATTACCAACAGTGTCTCCTGAAAGCCAGGTACCACACGGACTGAACGGTAATGGTGTTCCAAAAGTCAACAGTCTTCAGCTGAACCAGGATAAGCCATGCCTCCTGTGGGGACAACTGAGCTGACAAAACGGCTCCCACGGAAGCTCTAACAGTGGAAGACTGAACACATGTGGCTTTTTGCCTCGCAACTTTAGAGAAATATCTGAGGCATATAAATATAAGTAGAATGAATTTCCCACAGCAATGATGTAATAACCATAAGCTATGCTCTTGGCCAAGAATACATAGGAAAACAGAGAGCAATAATATTCTACAATGCAGGCTATCAATCTAAAATGCTTCCTGAACAAAAACTCTCATAGTAAGCACAAATTCCAGAAACAGAATGAATTCCACAGGCAACTAATCCCAAAGTCCTTGTTTAAAAAATTACTAAAAATGATCAAAAGACCAAAAGTAACTACAAAAGTAAGAGGTGTTAAACCACTAATAGAAAGAGACACTACTGTGCTAGCTACTGCAACTGACCACTGAGCAATGGACACCTGTCTGGGACTGGAAGCGGGGGCGAGGGACCCTCACAAACTGGTGGGACTGCTCGACAAACAGACCACAGTAATGTCTGCTCGGCGACAAATTCATTAAAACCCACTGGCCTGCATTCTACAATGGGATCAACGCTATGATCAAACTGTTTTGAAGGAGCCACAGAGGACAACCAAACTGGCAGTGGTGTAGAGGAGCTACACCCCAGAACCCCTAGACCCGAAGTTTGGAACTTGTGAGGCAAAGTAGCCATAACATACAGGAGTCTGTTGTTACATATACTTTTAAACCCTGCTACGAGCAGCAGCATGGTTATACCCCACGATGTCTAAAATCCGTCCCCATTCAAACTAGGGCCTCTAAGCTTCCTCATCTGGGCAAGAAGGCCATTTTCTGATTCATTCACCTGGAAAGAAGCTTTTTGTACTTCATCTGCTCAAACACACATTTCCCCCTGTGTTTTCACAGCTCCTGTGTTCCTGGGGCTCTAAGGCCAGGTAATTAGGTGACTCGGAAATACAAAGCCAGTATTTTCTCAATGGAAATGATACCATCTGAGAAGTCAGTCTAGGCTATGGCTCTAAACAGGCCAATACTGACAATGACAGCCAGAAACAACAGTAACAACAAAATCTGAGTGGAGAGAAGCCAGCAGTAGCAAAAGGAGGAGAATCAGCAGAGTTCAGCAGCACAAGGTGGCTGGGGCTGGGGGGAGAGAGGGAGGGTCAGCCAAGGAAGAGTGGGTAGAGGCTCAGAAGTATCCACAGGGAACTACAAATGGGTAGACACAACAGTTGCTTCCAGAAGGTTAGGTCGCAGGATTCAGGTGATGTGGTCCCTCAAAAACAGATGCCTGCTTATCTTGCTGGAGCCTGCGGTAGTTCTGAAGCCTCCTAGTTCATCACCATCACCATATCTGAATGGTTAATTACAGGAAATGCCTTAAACACTCATCCAGGGAAACCTATAGTTAGCTGAATTTTTAGGTTGTTTTTTTTTTTTTTCCCCTTTCAGCAGGTTAAAGACTAGAGGGCAAGGAAGGTGTTACACATGAGGACGGGCAACACAGGCCATAATCTGATTCCCTACACTAACGCATTCCTGCAGCAGAAACCTGAGAGATGGGCAAGAATTTCCTCGGTAAGAGAGTCACTGACCCACAAACATAGTTTTAAGAAGCATCTGGGGATGAAGGGAGAAGCATACAGGTAAAGCTCCCAGGCTGGAAATCTGGGAGACGGTAACGGTGAGGAAACGGCAAGATGGAGGAAGTAATTCTAAGGGAAAATACAGAGCAGAGGTTTTGGAACTTCTGTCATGTAGATGTAGTGTTCCCTAGAAAGGGCTGTTGCAGCGGGCAGTGGTGGCGCAGGCCTTCAATCCCAGCACTCGGGAGGCAGAGGCAGGCGGATCTCTGTGCGTTCGAGGCCAGCCTGGTCTACAAGAGCTAGTTCCAGGACAGGAACCAAAAGCCACAGAGAAACCCTGTCTCGAAAATCAAAAAGAAAAAAAAGGGGGGGGGGCTGTTGCATGTGGAGGGTAACAGACTGGGCATCCCTAGCCCAGAAATCCAACCCCTCGCCAAAATGTTCCAGTTCTCACAAGTTTAGAAGCACTGACAGGATATCAGACAGAAAACTGTGCACCAGCAAGTTGTGCAAGTACAGTTACTATAGGTGTTATAAAATGCCTTCAGCTATGTGCGTAAAACAGACATAACCTGGAAAACTATGTTTGGACTTGAGACCTGCCTGCGATATCTCACTATGTATAGGACAATATTCTAAACTTTTAGCCCCAAGCCTTTCAGATGAGGGACAACCCACCTGAAGTATCTGGTTTAGGGTACCACATCTTAAAACGTCACTAGTGATCTAAAAGAGTAACAAGGTGGTCTGGCTCAGTGGTGAAGACAAGCCGCGTGTGGGTGCAGGCTCTTCTACAGGCCTGGCAGGGCTTCTCTGAAAGCAGCATCCTGGATCCTCCAGAACCAGCCAGAGTGTGGTACCCACCTGAGCCTCCCCTCTCTTCTGTCCCTGCTTCCTTCCTCTTCCCTACCGGACTGAGTAAAGCACTTTGTACCCACAATAAATCTTCACATCCAGCTGTGTTTCCAGGAAGCACTGAGTTTAGTAGGCACAGGAATGCCAGGAGCCACTTGCCACACTGTAACATTTAAAGTGCTGAAAGTTTCTATAGCATTGAAATGTCCTTTTCATTTCTTGTTTCCCACAACATAAATGCCTATAAAGATTTCAATTAAAATGCATATAAGGAAAAGCTCACCTTGCCCAACCAGCCCATGCCTTCAGAGAACAGCTCTTAATACTTACCACAAAACCTCAATTGCCTACAGTGCGGTAACTACCTATGTGTCCCCAGAAGCTACACAGAGAGCTGAGGCATGGGCACAATTATGCAGACAGCCTGACTGGCTAGACGAACTGTCCTGGCCATCTCTGCAGAAGTATATTTCTGTATTTTGAACACTGTATCATTTTATACAATGTCTTTTTGTTAGTTTCCTCGTTAATGTTAAGGTACTTTTTGATTTTTTTTAAGTTATTAAAAGTAATGAGCATCCCATGTGTGTGTCTTTATGTGCTTGTCTACGAATGTAGGAAGATTGTTTTGAAGGGAACTGCTTAATCAAACCACCTGAATTTTAACAGCGAGCAAGCGCAACACCCCCACACAGTGGGCAGCAAATGCATCCACACTTAATAAAGGTAACACATTTGGGCCCCACCTACTG